CACTACCCCACCCCCACCTCCCTTTCGCCATCTCCCACCTTACTCTCGCCACCTCCTACCTCCCTTCCGCCATCTCCAACCTCCCTTCCGCGATCTCGGGCGTCACTCCCACCACCTCCCACCTATGAACAGTAGGCGTCAGTGAGACCCCACCCAACACTACGCCCCCCCCTGCCAAACTTGAAATACTGGTGTGGCAAACATGCAAACAGGGCAGATTCGGGCAGATCTCTGCAGCCGCACCAGAGGCCCATCACCAGAAAAAAGAAAACAGAAAAAAAAACATAAAAAAAAGCTTGCACGGGTAACCCGTGCAGCCACTGGGCCGTGCAGGCTTTATGGGTGCACGGCTGTGCTGACCCGGCCGGGCGGCGTAGGAAGCCTAGGAAAAAAGAAAAAAACGGGAAAAAGCAGAACAAAGCAATCCGAAACTGTACTCTGAACAAGTAAGGCCTCAGCGCTGTTTCCAGGTCACGTGAGCCCAGTCGACCGTTTCTCTACTCGGCGGTTAGATGGACCCCTTTTCTCTTTATCACCAGGTCCCACATATCCCTTGTTTCTTCCACCTCGTCCAACTGCCGAGTAGAGATGACAAATTGACAATACCGTAGCTGTGTGAAGGAAGCAGAAATCAGAGTTGCCTTTTCTGATGGGTTTGCTGAGACCCTAGAGGTGGCAATGGGGGCGAGTTAAGTTAGTTATCCCACCATGCAGGAGGATTGTGCCTACTGACATCCCTCTCAAAAGGTACACTGGCCCTTTGTCATGAACCCCTGCCTCATCCCGCCATACTTCAAACCACCAGCACCTCCCAGCGTCTTTCTTCTGATGCTCAATTTTACCCGCCTCTGGACTACGGGACTGTCACGGGGAGCAAAGGCCTACCGATCCTCCCAGAGTTTTCAGCCCTATAGGCCGCGCCTTTCTGCAGCCCCTGGTTAACTGGTGGGTGTGCTGGGTAGCTAGCCGCGTTACTGATTGTTTGATAGATCGACCCTGTCTTTGGCTTGCTGACCCCTCGCACCAACACTAGGCGCTTCCTCCTCGCTGTCAATACGTGCCACAGCATCAGTTGTGTACATCTGGCTACCTTGTCATGTTGTTACCCCCTGGTGTTGGTGTTGCCATGGATGGTGGATGACATGAAGGCAGAATGGCCATGACTTCTCAGTGTTCTCACCAATGCCATGCCAGTTTCACAGCTCGAACGCCATTGTCCTTGCCAGCCTAGCAACTACTGGCAGGGATTGTTGCAGCATCTGCAGGGGCTTGGGTTTCCTTCCCACCCTACTGAGCACCGTACTTTTAGGGTAACTATAGGTGACAACAGGACTGTATGCCGTCGCTTCCTATCGGTGCCGTGGTGATGGAATGCATCTTGTCAGACGCCTCAAATTCCTCGTCCTAGAGTGCCATGGGACACCACCCCCCCTCCTGCCTGGCATGAGGAAAAAAGTGCAATGCAATGCCCCTTGACCTTCCCCACCGACCCCCCCCCACAAAACATGAAAAACTCCTGGCAGCTGGCAATACCTTTTCACCTAAATGACAGCCGCAGCTGCGGCCGCGGGCAAGCCAAAAAAGTCGGCCGCGGCCGCGGCCGCGGGCAATTTGGCCACCGCAGCCAAAAAAGTCGGCCGCGACCGCGGCCAGGAGGCCCAGTTCGCAGCCTGTTTTTTTGGATATTTGTTTTGAGGTAAAACAAACAACTGAAAAAACAAATAAAAAATATGGGGTTGTAGGGTCCGCCTAGCTCAGTTGGAAAGGCACGCAAGTGACATTCAGGAGGCCTTGGGTTCAATCCCCATTGGCCTCATGTACCTTCCTGGGCAAGCTTGGCGCCCACCACCTAGAGATAGCACGTTGGTGCCCCCAATTGGCATTAAAAAGCAGTCTCTGCTGATGTTCATAAGGGGAGGGGTAATTGGGGAGGCACAGCGACTGGCCACTCAGATGATGCTCGGTCCCTCTGCCACCGGCTGTCCCCTGGCCAGTGTCCCCGGTTGGGGGTTCCCTGAAGGCAACCAAGGCCACCCTGGGCTGAAAAGGCCACCCGATGTCAGATTAGACACAAGATTGAATTTACCTGGGCTGGTTAGTCCGACGATAATACCTCAAGGCCATCGCCCTTCAAAA